GGCCCAACTCCCTTCCCGCCCATGGCCCATAGCACAGTGCTGGGGGAACCCCACAGCTCCTCAAGTTTCCCAGGAGTTGGCTCTCCCCGAGGAGCAGGCAGTTTCCAGGCAAACCTGCCCCCGTTTTCACCGGCGCTCCACTGATGCCTTGGCTTGGAGACCAAGGCCGAGCGTTGGGTTTCATCTCCACCCGGCGCGTTAGCGTTCTAGTGTTCCCAGGGATGGCCCATAGCACAGTGCTGGGGGAACCCCACAGCTCCTCAAGTTTCCCAGGAGTTGGCTCTCCCCGAGGAGCAGGCAGTTTCCAGGCAAACCTGCCCCCGTTTTCACCGGCGCTCCACTGATGCCTTGGCTTGGAGACCAAGGCCGAGCGTTGGGTTTCATCTCCACCCGGCGCGTTAGCGTTCTAGTGTTCCCAGGGGCTTTCGCGTCGCCTCGCGGGGGGAAGCAGCCCATGAAGCCAGCTACGGCCACAATCATTAATTGCTTCCCATCCCCTCAATAGACTTTTCCACCGCGGTGGGGGGATGGGACAGACGACCCGCCCTGGGGAAAGTGCCCAATTCAAGATGGATTCCAGCAGCAGGGGGCCTGGTCACAAGTCCTTGCAGGACCAAGCACCATCTTGCAGGCAAAACAAGCCTATCCACAGATCCTCACCCTGAGCACCGGGCCATCGTCCCCCGCTTCCCTTGGGGAAGGCGTTGCTTTCTTCAGCCCCTCCTCCGCCAGGAAAGGAGGGGGACCAGGAGCCTCGCATGGAGCAAGCCAGAAGACATCTCTGCATGAAGCCCTCGCAGCAAAGCCAACCCGAGTGTCACCCACGGGCGCATTGGCCTGGCTCGGCAAGAAGCACCACAAAAGTGCCATGAAGTTTGGCAGCTGGGGAAGCCGCCCGCAATGCCGGGGTGAGGCACTGGGCAGCTGGAAAGGGGCGCCATGTTCAAGGCCGTTTGGAGGGGTAAGGGGAAGGAATGGGATTACCAACCCAGCTCCCCAGGGCACACGCGGCCTGGGGCATGAATGGCGTGTGTGCACCGTGGGACATTGCCAGCCAGGGGCGACGAGGTAGCAAGCGCTCAATCTTTGAGCTGTTTTGCAACCAGAGTTCTCCGGCTGCCGAGCGCTTTGCTCATTGGTCCGAGCACTTCCTGTCCCACCGCTGACGCATGCTGAGTAAAGCCAGGGGCACGCTGAAGTTTACTGGCAAGTCAGCTGGTTTCCTCCAAAAGGCTCCAGCCGCTGAAGTGGGTGATTTACAGCCCCGCCACGGCAATAAAGCCGGCGGGGCTTTAACCGCAGCGTTTGAAATTGCTCAGTGACCCGCCCATTCCCTTGTCTGTCCTGATCCTCTTGTGTGTTTCACGTGGACTCTGTTGCACGTGGAACAAGGCTAGTGTCCTGGATTTCCTTCGGTTTCCTGGGTCCGGTGGTGCAGGAGGTTTGGATCCAGGAGTCACGGATTCACCCAATGCCACCATTTCTCACCCGGAAGCCAGCACCTCCCTTCGGTGGAGATGGATCCGTCGAGTGCGCCTAGGCAAGGGGTGGAGGAGAACATCTCTGCACTGGGCGTGCAACCAGATGGCTGCCTGAACTGCGGAGATCTTCCTCTCTCTGAGCCTTCACCAGAGCCAACCACACCCCTTCCTCCCACCTGCCAGGCCCGGCAAATCTGCATCCAGATACCCAACACAGCAGAGTGAGCATTAACCCTTAACGTTTCCCCATTCAATGAAGCAAACCAGCCATCCGCAGTCACTAAATACAAACCAGGGCAGAGCTCAATGTTCATGCACCTCTCCCGCAGTAGCTACGCACCGGGCAGGCCCGCAACAGCAGGGTTTGCGTCTTCCAGCCTTTGCTTCCGTCATGGGCACAGGGCGCTCTTCCTCCTGGAGTGCTGCATGACCTACCAACTTGTAGGGCCTTGTCTGTACTGCCAAGTTTTGTCACCAAAACCTGCCTTTTGTTGACAAGGCAATGAGCACGTCCGCACTACCATGCAACTTTTGTCAGGAAAAAACACCTGATTTTGGTGACAAAAACACTTCCACCCCCGCAAGAGATTTTTGTCTTTTTCCCTCCCTTTATTGTTGACCAAGAGCCGGTGTGGTCTCTGCTGTTTGTTTTGTAGAGAACTGGCTTCCTCCAATCTCCCAGAATGCCTGCCCTGATGGCTTTGCTCAGTGTTTTGATCTCTGCTGCCCTGCAAGCACATGCCTCTTCCCATTCAAAGCTCTGGGAAGTGTCAGAGCAGCTCACTCAGCTGTCAGTTTGGGGAACAACCAAAGAGCAAATCTTTGGAACGCTCCTGTTCCGCCCTGCTAGGAAGACGGCGGCGGGCAGGCTGCTCTGGCAGAGGGAGGGCTGGAGAGACGGCCGTGCTGCTTTGACATCCCTCAGCATGGAGAGCTAACAGAGCTGCACACAATGCTGCTCCCAGCAGCTGACGAGGCTATGGGAGAACTCGAGGGAATCCCAAGAAGCGCAGGGATCAGCTCTGCCTTCCCACAACACAGCCTTGCAGGATGCTCACCCATCTTGCTTTGCCCTGTCTGTCGGCAGGGGAGCTAGCAATGCGGCCATGAAATGTTGACAGTGGGAGGTGGAAAAACCAGTTTGACCGGTTTTCACTTTGTGATGGTGTGTCGGGGACCCCCCCCAATCCTGCACCCTGTCTACAGAAAAATGAGACTCCGTCAGCCAGTAGAATAGAGAGGGTTTATTGCTTCTGGGAGGTACACACAACCCGGGTTCTATGTGGGCATCACAGTGAGGGGCAGGTAGCCTCAGACACCGTGGGGTAGGCGTCCACAGGCCCCCGAACTCCCAGTACTCAGCTTAGTCTCTTCTCTTCATGTTTTCCCAGCCAAGAATGACTCCTCCCCAAACCACACCCTTCCTTTGTTCAAACTCCTTCCCTTTCTGGTGAGAACCAGTTGGGCCATGGTCTACACATGAAGGCCCTCGGCGACCCCCCACTGGGCAGTGCTTACAGACAGAGGCCAGTAGGGGTCATCCACAGCTCACATCCCAGGCATATGGACAGCCCCTCCCCCCCACACTACATCACAGCATCAAATAGTACTGAGAAACCCCAAAGGACCACAAGGCTGCAAACCAACCATCATCCGTGGACAGATGCCATAGCTAACTGGGGAATGTTATATTAGACCTGGTCTAGGAGACACTCACCTGCTGACCCTCAGCGGTACCAGCTGGATAAGGAGATGGTTCCTGGGACTTCCATGCAGAACAGACCTGCCTGGCCAGCTTCCGAGAACAGGATAGACATGCTCTGCTCCTGAGACGGTGGCTGCAGACAGCAGGCAGCCCCACCAGAGCCATGCGACAGTGTCACTCTCCTGCACTCAGCGAGCTGCTCGGATAAGGGAAAAAGCAGAGACACCTGGTCACCCCCGACGCCGGGAACCTCCTACATTGCAGCACAATGGTGCAAAGGCTGCCAGTCAGAAAGGATCACTGGGCCCGGATAGTCTGGTTTCTGCTGCTTTCCCACAGTCACCCCCAGGGCAGCCCTGCAGGACTGAAATAGTCTAGCAAATTGACTCCCCAGTTGACAATGGGAGCCTGAATTCCCTTGATTTCCTGGGTAACCCTTCCATGGGGGGGGAGGGGCAGTGGACAGCAGCTGCAAGAGCCAGGTCAATCGCTAACGGTTCGGTGACACTGCTCTGGAGGATGGGTCATAATTCAAAATGATCTGGACAAACTGGAGAAATGGTCTGAGGTCAGCAGGATGAAGTTTAATACGGACAAATGCAAAGTGCTCCACTTAGGCAGCAACAATCAGTTTCACACATACAGAATGGGAAGTGACTGTCTAGGAAGGAGTCCTGCAGAAAGGGACCTAGGGGTCATAGTGGACCACAAGCTGAATATGAGTCCACAGTGGGATGCTGTTGCAAAAAAAAGCAAACATGACTCTAGGATGCATGAACAGGTGTGTTGTGAGCAAGACACGAGAAGTCATTCTTCTGCTCTAC